TGTATTTTCTTTCGTTAGAACTCAATTGAGGGGTGTAGCTATCACTTTACATGTAGCGGTTTCTAAAATAAACTGCGAACAATATAAAGTTAAAGGTTGCAAGTCTGCAAAATTGTGCAGTGAAATCTATATTTTGTTTTTATTACTATAAAATATGTTCTGCACTTACCCCTGAAAACTTGTTTCAAGAAAATAAAAACGTAGTATGCGAATTCAGGCTTGTTTTTTTTAACAGCATTTGGTATATGAAACAGAATAGACTTCTTCCTCATTATATTAAAATTACTTCATTTGATTCCTTTCAGCTACCAAAATAATAATAATAATAATAATAATAATAATAATATGCTGTATATCTTTCAAAGGCATCGCTCCATTAAGTGTAATCCATATAGGCCCTTCTAATGTATAAACGAACAGATAAAATGCAGAAAATCGAATGGGATCATGCGGTAATGATTCTGTTCATAGAATGGGGATCTGCTTAAAAAAGAAAAGAAAATAAACCATCTAATCGGCTGATGTTGCCGGGAAGATTTTTTGGGAGAAAAGATTACTGCAAAGTTCGTGACGAATAAAAAATATTAGCTAACCGTAGACATATATAGAAATGAAGGAAGACTGAGGATCTATAGAAGATAAGCACGCCACTATCAAATATAAAATTAAGCAAACATTCAGTCTTAAGTTGACTGGTTATATATATATATATATATATATATGTGTGTGTGTGCGTGTGCGTGCGTGCGTGCGCGCGTGCGCGTGTGTGCGTGTGTGCGTGCGCGTGCGCGTGTGTGCGCGTGTGTGCGCGTGTGCGTGTTGCGCGTGTGTGCGTGCGTGCGTGCGTGCGTGCGTGCGTGCGTGTGTGCGTGTGTGTGTGTGTTGTGGTGTGTGTGTGTGTGTGTGTGTGTGTGTGTGTGTGTGTGTGTGTGTGTGTGTGTGTGAGTGAGTGAGTGAGTGAGTGAGTGATGGATGTACCAGCTTTTGTCAGGAATAAATAGATTGTGGTGAAGAATCATAAATGTAGTCGTAGCTTAAATTATCAGACGATAAGTTTAAAAAACAGGATCCATTTATTATTATTCAGGAGAAATAGCAATTACAAAAATCTGATCTCCGGAGTAAATAAAAAGGAATTACTAATAACTTTTTGTATGAAGTTTACTGCATTGTTACATTAAAAAAAAGCCTCCGATATTCCTTTGCGTGTCCCTTTATATTCTCTGGAAAGGCGGAACTTCAAAGAAAATGACGTCAGCCTCGTCAGGCAATCCAGTTCGCTTAAATATTTCCAGAACATTTTATAACTGTACGTGTAGAAAAGAAGGGAAAAACAACTTGACTACGGGGCTGTGTATTTAATTCCATGTACTTTCCAATAAGAGAACGTCGCCGTTAAAAATGAAAAAAACATACAGTTAGAATTTTAAGTGTATTCTTGACTGTGGAATTTTATTATTACATATATATATTTCTTTTTATAAAATTAAAATTATTGGTTGTTGATTTTTATTTAGTTTTATATAAATAAGGATATATTTTTATTGGTAAAATTCACTTACATTTTAGTTTTATAGAATTATTTCACTCTTTTTAAAAATATTTTACTGGAAAGATCCTTACTTAAAATATTATATTACTGTATATTTTTTTTATGAAATTGTACGAAGTTGTTATTCTTTCTCGTATTTTACTCATTTAATTTTGCTGGTAGTACGTGATTTAAGAGAAGTCATAAATCGAATAACTATTTTATTGATTACCTCATATGGAAAGGTACATACAATGTATAAAAAACAACATGGTTTGGTTGTACGTGATAGAAAGGAAGTCAGAAACATTTCAAGTAACTATTTTCATCCATTATTTTATGCATAAAGATGATTAGATTTAACGTAAAAACAACGTAATTGCCCTCTCCATTTGAATTCTTTAAAAAATGTTTTCCAGTGCTTTGTATTATTGGTAAAGTGGTTGCTTCAAGAAAACAATTCGTAAATCCGTTTTAATTTGGTACTACAAAAAGGGAAATCTATTGGAAAATCCCTGAGGTGGTTAATTTAAAACATTCAGCAGTTTCTGATGTAATAAAATATTACTAAAAGCATAGGAATTTCAAAATGAAGGAAAATTTAAAAGACCGACCGAATTGTCTTATGGTGTACGACGGATTATTGTCATAAATGCTAAAACAATCGAAGACCCATTTACCATAGAATTTCATGAATCATATAAAATATCTGTTAACCCAGCAGCTGTTTAAATGTGATAATAATCCTGTCTAACAACACTGCTGGCCACCGAAATTGCAGCACCAAGAAAGACAAGAGATAACACACAAAATTTATTTAGTAGATAACGTGTTGACCAAGTATCAAATGATTAAATTTATAGACTTCTGTGAAGTGTGATTCCTTCCAAAATCAGTAGCCAGAATAGTCGCCATTGTTGGAGATCACCGCTGCCACACGCCTCGGCATTGATTCAAAGAGACTTTGGATGTGTTCTTGGGGTATAGCAGACCAACCAGCTTCCACACGTTGCGAAAGGCGATCTGGTGTGGCAGCCTGGGATGTAATCTGGGTCAATCCTTCAGCAACTATGGACCACATGTTTTCTATCGGCGAAAGATCCGGAGAGCGAGTCGGCCAGAGAAGCAATTCAATCTGGCGATTGACGAAGAACCCGATAGAAAACGCATTATCGTGTGCTACGTGTAATGTGTGCCACGTGTGGTCCGCATTATCGTGTTGAAATATGGCTGTGGGCAAGCCCTGAAGGCAAGGAAGGACAACTGGCTCCAACACCTTGGAGATGCAGCGCTGGTTGTTTAAAGTACCGGCAATGCGTAGTAGAGGAGTGCGAAAGTGATATCCAATACCGCCCCATACCGTAATACCCGGTGCAAGAACAGTGTGGCGGTGCATAACGCAGCTTTTCAGCATCCTCTCTCCACGGTGTCTCCAGACTCGAATCCGACCATCGTGGTGTTGCAGACCCAAGCGTGACTCGTCAGTAAAGACAATTTCATTCCATTCTGCCGTCCACACCCTTCTTTTACCGCACTATTGGCGGCGGAGACGTCTGCGGTTTTGCGTCAAGGGTAGAAGAAGCAATGGACGTCTTGCGGACAGACCACTCTGCTGTAAACGGCGTCGAAAGCTTCATCAAGTTTATTGCAGACATCCAACGGGCTGTGACAAATGAGCTTGCAAGCATAGCAGTTGAAGATGTCCCTGCTTTCTTCCAAGACCTCCATAAACGCTAGCACTTGTGTATAGATAGGTAATCCAAAGGTACTAATTTTATAGCAGCTAGGATCATTATTTGGTAAATGCAATTTTCTGTTTCTTACTACCTTTGTCCTGAAACTTTTCTGACAAAGTTATGTAGTTAGCAGATGGCGGATTAAAGATTACTATTTGTCGGCATATTTTTTATTTACCTATATATTGAAAATTATCTAGTTAAATTTTATCTAAATTTGAAGGGAACATTTCAGGCTTGAACATTGGTAAAGAAATACATATTCCTAAATACCAACGTCTATTAAAACACAGTGTGAGGAATACGTTTCTTACATGAAGAACTGGACAAAGCTTTTGTGTCAAGCGATTAATGCATCACTTAAAGTCTTACAACTGTGACAGGGCCTTTTGTTTATGCTAGTGCTTCATATTCTGGCAGAGTAATAAAAATAGACTCTGTAGAAAATTTAGACAATGCAAAACAATGAGAATAATGGTATAAAGAGCAATTAAGCTGGCATAATATTGATTTAAAATTGCTGTGTGTTTTGTCAGAGGAAGATTTCTATGGTTATCAGCAGTTTAGTGAATGAGGCCTTTTGCGGATATTCGGAAATTTGTCTTGTAGTATTAGACTTTGAGTAAGTTATAAGGTATTCCTCCCGCCTTCTTAGCATGCCTTCGTGGTGTAGTGGTCAGCACGCTCGACGCGTATTCGAGAGGTCCGTGGTTCGAGTCCCGGCAAGGGCATTCCTCATTTTTCATCTCTTTTGCTTCAAAAATATTTAATGTCTCTACAAAGTGACCGGAAATTCTTTTAAAAGCTTTCTTGTAGAATTTATATGGGACGTTATGTATATAATCATTTTATAATTCAAAGAATACAAAAACTGAGCATGCTTGTTTCATTACTGCATGGGAAAAAAGTTGTATTGTGTTTTAACCCTTTGCACTCGAGAGGGACTCTCGGTTACCGATTGATTTCATGGGGGTAACTCAAGAGGGGACTCTCGATCACCACTCGTTTTGATGGGATAATTCGAGCGGTAACAATGCTTATGTACGTTTGGTTTGGGCAGAATCATTCTCTGAGTGTATTGAGCAACACATGCGTATAAAATAACTGCCGATCTGAAATCTTAGATGCGTTTTTTAGAATTATTGTTAGTCATGCGTATTCGACGTTCGCTACAACTCGACAGTCGTGGTAATAGGACTATTACGATGAAGGAATCAATTGAAGTGATCTCGATTTTTCGTTGATAATGAATGAAATTACATCTATGCGTAGATTACTTGACGATAGAAAGGAGAAATGCAATGATAAAAGATAGCTATGAAAGGTGTTAAGAAGGCTAAAAATCAGGGTAATAGTTAGTGAATGTGAAAGCGACAGTGATTCCGCAGAAGAGACAGAAAATTCAGATTGGATAACATCACTGAATCCGAAGAAATACCGCAAGGAATGCGATTTGTATTCAACGAAGGAGCGCAAGTATCTTAAGAACCATTAGATTTCTCTGAAATCATTTTAAGTTAGCTGTGAGAAATTCACTAGATGTGCCAAAAATCATCTCGAGTTTCCGGTTCTCTCGAGTGAAAACGCCTTGAGTGCAAAGGGGTAATCTACGCCTCGGGATATAGATAAAATTTCTATGCAAAGGGGTAATCTATGCCTCTTGATACAGATAAAATTTCTATATTTGGTGTCAGAAATTAATTGTTAATAAAAGTTTTATTTTCTTTTTTTAGGTTATCTCAGTCGGGTAAGGGCAAAGATGGCTGTCATCCGGATGCTCACGGTGAGAGGAACGTAGACGATGGTGGGTAATTTTTGTTTATTTATAATTTATTAATAGTAATTAATTTTTATTATGAAAAGAACAAGAAAAGTAAAATTTATTGTTGTACTGAGTGATGGGAAATCGTAGCCGGTCATCATCTTTTGGACCGTTGGATCAAATTGTGTTGTTTCGTGTGGTTTTATAAAAAAGAAATTCTTGGTTCTGCTGTTAAAATTTACTTTATGTATAGAGTTCAGATATAAAGCATTATTTTATTCTCAAGGGGATGTGAATAAATTATCTCGGTGGATTTATTCGAAATTAAAAAAATTATTAATATTTTATCAGTACTTATAACAAAAGACAGAACCACTACTTCCATGTGTAAAGTCTTCTTTATTAGCATAATCACTCTTACGTAACACAAGGATCGTATGTATAATGTATCGCTGTGTCTGGAAGCAAATTGTAGGGGCTAAGTAGTACAATTGTAGGGGCTATTGTAGGGTTAGGTTTTTCATGGACAACAGTAATACTCTTATATCGAGGGAAAGTCAATTCCAAACAGACATTTGTGTTAACTAAAATAACGCCTCAAAGAACAAATCTTGTAGCTCTAAGGCAACAAGATTGAGCTTAAGATGCACAAATTTGCGGGACCAATTCCCAAATAGTAGAATAGAACTGTTTTCCTTCAACTGAATGAGTGAAAGCATGTGCTCACGCGATAGCAATAGACCAAACAATTCGAAAAAGTTCCGGTAAAGGGATAAAAAAAAAAAAAAAAAAAAAACGCAGCAGCTGGCGCCATCTATTTTCAAATAGTTTGGGCAGTTATAGTTCGACCGCCTGATCCGCAACCATGAGCGCAAACACGCATGCGCCATTCGGACCGAATTATTCTCAAAATAGGGTGGAAGGATGGGGACTTTCTCTTTCCCTCCAGCATAGCTCTTTCCCGAGAAGAGAAGACCTTTCACGTCGCAGCAAGTAATACGCCCCTTTTGGACGAGTCTATGTGTTTTGGCAGAATGCCAACCAGGGTTGCGCTTGAGACGGTCGAACTATACCAAATAATGTCCGTTAAAAGGCGAAAGTTAATCCGTATTAGAATTGGGATCATTCAATAGAGCTGAAAGATTGCTACGAATTCCAAATACCTGTAGGAAATCTAATTAGCCGAGAAAATTTGAAAATTAAATGTATAGATAATAGGTAAGAGGCTATGCTTAAATTCGATGTAATCTGAGGGGAATGGAATCTTACTATTATGAATTTTGGATTGAGCATATAATCTAACATATTTCGCTGTAGGTGAAATAAGCGATTTTTGTGACTGGGCAGGATTTGTGGAGGCTCAATCATGCATGTTACACGATTCTTGTTTTTAATGATTGGTATCTTTAATTTATTTCTTCTTCAGTTTGTTTTTCTTGTTATAATTAAATTATAGACCGTATTTGAATGGGAGTCTCCTAATGAATTTCACGTTGTTGATTCGTATCCACATGAAATAAGCACATTTAATTGACTGTATGGAAGAGCTACACGCTATTGCTGAGGTGTGCCCGTATATTTTGGCACTTCAGAATGCAGAGTTAGCACAAATGATTCATTCGTTTTGAATAGGCTATATTTTCAAATGTATTACATTTACGCACAGGAAAAATATATGAAAAACATCTTAAGACATAGATTTTTGCTGTCGTGCAGCTCTTCGCTGGAATTCAAAACTTTCTGCAAAACTGCCTAATCTTACGCTACTTTGTATTGAAACCATATATTTTTGTAACCATTGAAAGCGCTGAAGTATTAGATTTTTGCTTTTTCCATTTACATTGCTATTTTTCTTTTCTTTTCTTTTCTTTTTTCTTTTTTTTTTTTTTTCTTCTATTAAGCATATAGGATTCGTCCTCATTTGGATTTTTTCAGGGACTACATGACTTGGCAATAAATGTAATCAAGAACTGGAAGTAATTTGTAATTAAATGATTTATTTTCGTTTGTAGTTTGCGAAGCTTCAACCCATGGACTTCTCTTCGAAAGGGTGGGGAAATACATTACGAAATGAAGCGAAAGCAATTCATTTTTTTCCCATTACATCTCATCGGACTGCATATCCTGTTCGGACATTTCTAATGAATTCATTAGTTAGTTTTGCTCCTAACGCTTATGCTGGAATTTCTGCAGCCATTCGTGAATATATTGTCGTTATTTGCCAATTCCAGCTTCCTAGTAGGGGGCTGTTTATTATATCTGCGGAAGACGGTTGTAAATGGATTCAGGTTTACCCTTCGGAATTTTTCGCCTTGATTCTCTCTGGCTTATTTAATTGAAGTCATTTATGAGTATAATTGGCTGTCAGTGAAATGACATATATTTATTTGTTTTCTGTTATGTATTATACGATTGTAATATGCCGTGTATGAAATAAAATTTGCTATTAGGATAAGTGGTCTGAATTATAAGGTTTAATTCCCCACCAGCTGTGGATTGTTTTAATTTTCCGCTTTTCATCTGACCGATAATATTTAGCTGCTGGCTGATTATGGTATGGAATTTTCTAATGTATGGACTAGTAATTAACTTTGTGTTTTGTTTCCTTCATGACATCGAACAAAGTCAGTTTGTTGTTGAACTGGTGCGTTTTCAAAGCTATCTTTTAGTTCCGCTTTGGTAAATACAAGCATACTTCGTTCTAATACTTGAGTTTAATTGCATTTCACATATTATGCGCTCTTTGATTTGCAATCGACAGTTCAATGAACCAATACTGTGTGACATCGATATTGCTGAGCAACGATATCTGTATATGATTGAAATAAAAAAAATTTTTTTTTGAAAATTATTTAATCATGAGTTAATTAATGCGATATTCATCACACAGTTCTCATCGAAAGTCGACATCCGCATAAGATCAACAAGCGTAAGCCCGACACATCGTAGAATCGACACCGGCATAGGATGAATACAACGTAGGATCGGTACAAGATGGTATAGCGTTGAATCGGCACCGGCATAAGATCAGTACTACGTAGAATCGGCAGGTATATAGGTAGAAGTCAGTGCCAGTAACCACTCTACCGGCTGAGCGGCGTAGAGTGTATGAACATAGACAAATAATACAAAAAAGAGAGTGTCCTTGAATATTTAGGCAGTCGAAGCTTCCAGAAGTCAAAATGTTTGTTCAAAAATGACCTTTGTAAGGTGGAAGATGTATCAAGAATCCGGCCATCAGCATTGCATTATGGTGTGACATGGAATCGACGCCAGCATACGATCGATACAACGTAGGATCCACACAAGCAATAAATCTGACTCAGCGTAGGAGCGGCACCGTCATAGAATTGATACAATGTACTGTCGACACAGATTTAAGCAAACACAGTGCAGAATTAACAATATATGAGATCGTTACAGGTATGCAGTTTGACACTGGCATAGCATAGGTGAGATTTGTAATTCGCTACGGTGTGTAGTCAAGAAAGCGAAGGAGTGTGACCAAATTATTATTTATTAAGGATACTGTTATAAAATGGAGTCTGACTTGGAATCGTTACATCGAAACTGATTTATGAAAGTCTTTACTTTGAAACTGATTTATGAAAGGTCAGTGCATTGAAACTGATTTATGAAAATGATTACATCGAAACTTATATATTGTTGCGTTTTTCTTTTCTGACACAAGTTTTTACGTTATTTTCTTCCTTCACGTTCGTACGGGGTTTGTGTGGATTTGAAGTGAAAAACGACGACACTTGATGAAGTATCGAAACACACTTTATTGGCCGGTATTAATCAGGAAAACTCCAAAATCTCGTTCACAGTCGTCGAACTGTTATAAACACGCTGACACGATCAGCGACACAGCTTTCAGGTTAGCAAGCTATCACGGTGGAGACAGATTCACTGCAAAGCACCAGAGTACAGCTCCCGACTCTGCTCGGTCGTTATCGGAACTCCACGTACTCTCGAGACTCTTCACGCTACAACTCGCGATGCACTCGACGACACGACACGCAGAGCACAGCTCCTGAATCTTCGATTCAGTCGTTCCCGGAGCTTAACACGCTCTCTCGACGATGCACTAACCGCGATACACTAAGAGACTCTTCGATGCACTCGACTACCAAATCGGCGCTAGACTTCAAAACACTCGCTCAGTGACTGACTATCAGCTCGCTAGACGAGGCACATACACTCTAACTGACTGCGGACCAGCAGGGTTTATATAGATTTCGGCTTGTGTTCGAGAACATTCTGGGCTAAACCGGTAAGAATTCGTTCGAGAAGGTTCTCCATCCGTCCACGGCATATCCCCGATTTCTCGCCAAATGTGGCAACCCTGCCATTTTATGGCAGCCCTAAACCTTCTTTGCGGGGAAGCTATCTCACGCGCCTGTACATTTCGTAACCATCTGAAAGTCATTACATCGAATCTCTGATCATTGCCAGCAGAGAAGCTGTGGACCGCATGCACCGCGAGTCTTGTACCTGCTTTTTTACAAATTGAAGATCTGTTACAATCCCACATCGAACTAGCATTGTAAAGAATCTTCTTGCTATTGTCCCTCTGTATTAACCAAAAATTTTCTACGCTTATTTCAGTTCTTCACAGTAACTTATTTTATTTGTTCGTAACGGACTAGACGGACGTAACGGTCTTGTATTTATATCGTAACGGACTAGAACTGAAAGCTCAGTTATATCTGGTGGCTCATAACAATTTCACATATATTGTTTGCTTTGCGATTGTCCATCAAAGTCAGTTTTTAGTAGAAAAGATTACTTTTTCGAAGCATTCTTTTGACTTTATAATTGCGAAATGTCTGGCATCATTTATTTAAAAAAAAAAAAAAAAAAAAAAAAAAAAAAAGCAAAGTTTAGTTGTCTTTGACATGCGAGACTGGCATTTTGTTACGCTAACATAAAACTTCCTATGCGTACAATGAGGACACTTGGTTTGACTTGAAAAAGGAGTCGGTTATGGAAATAAAAGCTTTTCACAAAATATCTTTTGTCGTACTGACTTAAAAAAGCGCA